TATTATTATCATATTGTTATTATTACTGTTATTATTATTAACATTAATGGTATTATTACTGTTATTGTTGTTATTATTATTACTATTACTAAATGTATGCAGAAGAATGAAACCTTGGCTTGGTGGTATCCCAACAGCGCAACACCACAGTGCCCCTATCACCAATGAATACTGATATTGCCTGGAAAAAAAACAATGTTCTTTTACACGAATAAAACAAAATTCGATGAGGAGCAATGAAAACAACAACGGACAAGCCGTAATCCAGTACCATCCAGTCATGCCGAGCAGTTCGTGCGAAAGAGGCCAAGAGAAAGCATTTCGCCACCTTCTTTCAATGCTGCTGATGCTTGGGCGTGTTTCTCGATAGGCAATTTGAAAGCGTTCTGATTCCTTAGCGTGGCAAGAACGGATCGAAGATTACAGTGGATAACACGAAGTTTGGTTTTTCTCCTTAATGATAAATTCGAGGCGAAGGCTCAAGCTCGAGCAGATTAGAGGTCAGCCAGCACAAAACAAAATTTGCTAACATTTAAGCACTGCAGATACTTATTGAGAATATATGCCCCGTATTATTTGGCAGCAGATTTCCCGCAAAGGCAATACGAAAAGTTAAGCTTTAACGACGGGTAGGAACAAAAATTTCCCACAAGCAACCAAAACTTTGCAACCCAATCAAATTCTTTTATTTTAACAAAGTGTTGGGAGTTATGTAGCCAGAAAAATAAGCATAGCAATGCACAAATTTTTGCTTCTGTCATCACAAATTCGGGCAGTTTTCTCATTTTGCATGCAGCGACGTCTACAATACGATCACTGCTATTCCCAACACAATACGGCGAGCTAATGGACAAGCGAGACCACAAAAACCTAGGCTCGAACGCACCAGGCGGGCCGGCGGTGCGAAAATGCGTTTTTGCGTTAAAATTGATCGCCAACGGTATAAATGGTATTGTTTCTTAACATTTAACTTGTGCACTCATTGCCGTAAATCATCGCAAATTTTGCAAAAAAGAAGATGAGTAAGTTTCAAAATTGAGCGGTCGTCCACTGAAGATGAACTGGCTGTTCTTGCTCCTGAATTTGCCATTTTCCTGCCCAAATATTTGTGTATTCGTGCGTAAAAATCACGCATACCTATGAATTGAGCTTGACAATAAACAGTAAACATCCCTTCAAAATTTCACCTCCCAATTTTTCTGGTTCCCAAATTCTGGTTCCCCAACCTTGTCAATAAAAGTTTCTCGTGCTTGTACGCAGGACCCAGACGTGCGTGGTGGCTGGTACCGCGTTAATGCGAACAGAGACAAAATTTCAGCGTCGAAATTCGCTTGGTTGCCGAGTTGAAATACCCGGACACGTACAAAATTACACATGTGCACAAACACACACACACACACACACATACACACAAACATACACATACATACATACGCATACGCAAACACAAACATACACACATATCATGGGTCGTCACAATATGTGTTTTGCACTTAAAATATAGGCGAAAAAGCATAGAAATTAGCCATCATCACACAATGATAACGGATATCAAAACTATCTAACTTTACCTGTACAACAATATTTTGATAAGTGCATCGAATAAATTCGTTTAAACGCTTTACTACCACTGATGAATAATTAAGCCTTTCGGTAGTTAAACGGCTAACATTCAACGCACGTAATGCCCTGACCTGAAAAGCATAAATCTTCCGCTCTCTAGCGATAATGAAGAAAATCGACGGTCGGAAACGACGGCCCGGACAAGTGGCACATGGAGCAGACACGTCATGATAAAAACCATGGAAGCGTTGCCAGCGTATTACCAAACGAAGATGCGCCCGTTGTGGAAACAAAGGCCAGTTAAATCAAAATTAGCAAAATTATGTTATTAGCGAAATTAGTTAGCAAAATTAGTGACAAAAAAAACGGAATTTTTAAAATGTTATTTTAAAATTTTAGTTTTTTTAACTTTAATTTTTAGTTTTAATTTTGGGTTTTAAAAAAATAATTTTAATTTTGGAAATTTAAAAAAATTTGAAAATTTAAAATTAAAAGAAAATGAAATCTAGGATCAGCAAGAAATGACTTTTGACCAGTGCAAGGGGAATTGGGCAAGCACTGTATCTCAGTAGCATTCGCAGCGACAGTCCGGTGGCTCTGCTACCATTTTCTGAATACAAATGCATACCTTACTCTTATAATCGGGCGGTAAACTGTAATTCGCAGATGAATGATAAACGACGGTGAAATCGTCGGTTGGCGCAGTGCCAAACAACACAACAGCCAATCCAGTACCATTCAATTTGCCATACAATGTGGGTGGCATGCCTGCTCTCCTTCGAACCTGAAAAAATGCGCATTCCCAACAACAACGGCTTTTGCATGCAAATAAAGCGATGCTAAGAAAGGTTTTGAATAATTCTTGATCACATCAAAAAAAAAAAATTATGGAAAAAAGAAAAATTTTGGCCAGTGCACTAACAGCCAGTACGAATATGCGTTTTTTGCACAGTTCCCACACACGTTTTTGTCCAATAACGACACTGTTTTTTTTCCGACAGATGATTTTAGCTAAAAGAATTGAGAATGGGCACAATGAATGTCAGAAATTATTACAAGGACCGCGCCCCAAGAATTCAGCACCCTAGATGCTTCGGTTGAGAAGTTACGCCAAACTTCAAGTGTTTACAAGTGAAAAGAACGCGAATGCTGTTTTCACGCGGGTCTGCCCAAACTCGGCCCTGGGTCATGCTCAGAAATATTCTGTGCTACAGTTGCTGTGGTTGTGGAGTTACGTCGAATTTTACGTGTCCGTACATGAGACATTAAAGGAAAGTTAAAGTTGTTTTCAAGTTCACCTAGCCAAATGCCGCCAATGCCTCAGAGAAAGTTTCAGTCCTGTAGCTGCTTGAGTTCCGGAGTTAAAAAACTATCTACATCAAATTCCAAGGGTTCGTACGTGGATGAAGAGGAGCTGGAAAGCTTAATTTACTTTCACGGGCGCATCAGTAGGTGATAAGCAACGCTGCAAAATCACAGCTCTCTACAACTTCTTGGTCAGCTTAATCCTCGAGTTGGCATGATTCATGACGTAGGGGATGGTGAAAGCTGAATTTAAAATCTTTAGTTGGACATGGGCCAAAATTTCAGACTTATAGTTTTCGTAGGTCTCGAGATGAAAACTCAGTACAGACGCACATACAGACACATACATAGAAACCCATATAAAACAAACCTGCACAGACACACACACACACACAAACACAGGTAATTCATCGACAATATGTGTTTTTGCATTGCGTAGACGAACGCATAAAAAGAGCAGAAAAAAAAAATTTTGATGTTTGGATTTACTCCCAAACAAAGAGCACATTTCAGGCATGGCTTTCGATTGGGTAAATTTTACCTGAATTCGATGAAGCTGAACGACTTGGCCAACTGCCACTACATCAGAAAAGTAATTATCCAGTTTGCTATATATGGAACATTTCGTGAAACTCGACGTTGTATTATCTCGCAAATGCATTTCTGTTATCAGTGTATCTGAAGTGGCATTTTTGTCACCAATAAATGACTTTTTTTTTTTAAAAAAAATTGTTCTAGCGCCCAAGTAACGGATGCTGTAAAAGCAGTAAGCTTCGTTTGTTTTAGGAAAATAAGAAAAAAAGTCTTTCAAACGAAAACAAAAAAAAAAAAATTTCAAGCTCAAAAAAAAATTCCAAGCTAATAGCACAAAAAAAATTCCAAGCTTACCGCCGCCAGTTAAATCAGCTGACCGGAATGTATTAATTTCAGCGATCACACCATAAACGTAAATCTATAAAAAATTATCTTCACCAAAAAAAAGTGGGATAAACCAAAAAATTGAGTAGCAGCGAGGCAAAAATGAAATGATGCTCATGTGAAGCAATTAAAATTCCAACTACCGCTGTCATGAACGGAGCTTTTTTTTGAAAAAAAAAGGAATATGGATCGGAAGAGAATGGAACCACTCGAGAATCGAGTCCCCACCCAACCTTCAACGTCTTTAGCATGAAAGAACAGTACAGGCCGTGGAGGCCCTACCAGGATCATATTAATGGAAACTATAAACAGCCCGCCCGGAGGGCTGCAAACACCGGCCGACGTAATTGAGGGTCAGAAATTAAAATACAAACAAATTTAAAAACGGTCCGACCGACGTCAGTAGATCGGTGCATGAAAGGGGAGAAAATTGAAACATTAGATTGTTGGGTAGGATTGTTGGCTAGAGAAGATTGTTGGGTAGGAAATGTACGTAAACCGTATGTCATGTAGAAGGGTCATGTACAGAGGAGTATTGCGAAACATAAAAGCTCATAATAATCCTTGCCAGATGTTTCCACCTCTTTTGTATCACCTTCATGTCCCACTTGATTTACACTTCTTTTTGCCTGATTTTATGAATAATCATCATTCTTTCAATTCTACACATTTCCGTACATTTCCCAATACTGGGAATAATAATCACCATCATCAAAATCGTCATGCAACAAGGAATACGCATTTAGCAGAAGGAAAAACTCACTCGTTCATATTCGGAATTTCGTTGCAGCTCCGCAAACGTAATGTAGGTGTAATTCGATCGTCGTGCCATGCCTTGTGCTTCTTAAAATTCACTCGCATACGTGAACAAATTTTATCGAAACAAATCGCAAATCGGGCTAGAGAATGCTGCTTCGCAGGGTCTCAACGCAGAAGGAGGCCACCTCTGAGCCTCCGTGTTAACAAGGGCTCAAAACAGTCCCTGATGGCATACACAGGGAAGCCGCTGAAGCTGCTAATGATGATGCGTACATGTTTTCCTGCGCTTCATAAAAAATACGATCTCTTGGCTTGGCGATGCTCCAAGAAGTGGCCTCCTCAAACAGGAACAGCAGCTGGCTGTCGCCGATTTCTCGCTTCATTCAAACAAAATCTGCTGTTGGGAATCGAAAATTTCACTGCCTCCCTCTGCCAGACACTGGCGAATCTTAGGGGGGAGAGGGAGAGGGAGCGAGGGGCCTTTCGCTTGCTCTTTGCTTCTCCTGCGCACCAACTTTTGCTCGCTGTACAAAATGTTCCCAACTCATCTACAAATTAAACTTACCCCCCCCCCTCCTTCCCGGTGTTCAGGTAGTAGTTGTTTTACTGTACAAAAGTCTGTTCAATAACCCCTGTTGCCTTCCCCCGGCCCCAGAAGATCGCTCTGGATCCGCCTGCACAGCCTGAGGTCGAATTCGCCCATATTAGCGCAAGACAGCGCTTCCACCCCAGAAATCTCAAAACGATGAATTGCTGCTCGCTTGATCTTCAGTGCCTTGTAATTAAGCCCAGCAACGTATTCGGCGCAAATTCGGTGCAACCAGCATCCCTCCCTCAGACGAACCGCGAAAAAAAGTGAGAGGCAGGGGAGAGGAGAGGAAAGCGCGGGGAGAAGAACATGGAGGGAGGAGGGGGACGAGGAATAGCAGAACGCGAACGAAAAGCTATATAAGTAATATCAAAGCTGGGGAGCTTCAGAATCGACTTCAGAGCAAATATTCGCGATAAATATGGGAAAATACGAAATAAATAGCAAAACGCACCAGATTAGCCGGTGCGATCATGTGTTTTGTGCAATTCACCCCATCGAACGATTGCCTATTAATGATTTTCACTGCTTTGTATTTTAGTGTATGCAAAAATAGTTCAAACACTGAAAAATAGTTAAAAATTTCACGCACCAGCGCATGAAAGCTGAATTCGAAACTTTGGGGGGTGAATATCTTCCCGTGATTCCCGAGTTAATAGTTTACGCGCCAAAATTTTCACGAGGCCGTAAGTGATACACAAGGCCGCGGGAACGCTGAATTTGAACGGGCAAGGTTGAGCGTGGGGAGGGGGTCATTACCCTAAAATTTCAGCCTTGGACTCCGTGGCTCCGAGATATCAATTTACCCGTAAAAAACTTTCACGGAGCCGGGAGTTTTACCAGTAGGTTCGGGAAGGCTGAATTTAAATATGCTGCGTCACCCGCTGGCGGGGAACACTATACCAAAATTTCAGTCGCCTAGCTTTTGTGGTTCCCGAGTTGGAAGTGCGGGACAAAATGTGGGACACACACACAGACAACCCCGTGATAATATGCGTTTTGTAATGCTGTTACATAGCACAAAACGCATAAAAACTGCACAAAAAATCAGTAATAGGTCATTCTCCGACTAATAAAAATTAAGGGATTTCTGTGAGCTCATAATTTTCTGGATTTCCAGGGTCGTTTTTTACTGTTTACAGAATGTGCGCGAAACGAAATATTCACTCGTTGCTGGAGTTTCGTTCTATATGATGCAGCAACTCTCCCGGAAGAATCACTATGCCTTCGGTTAAGACAGCAGCGGATGGACGGAACCATCAAATATGAAGCGAAAAAAAAAAAAAATAATTGGCCAACGCACGGGCTGCCCGTGCGAAGATGCGTTTTTTGCATAGTTTCTCACAGTTTTTGTCGCTACCGGCATCGGTTTTATCGGCAAATGCTTCTAGTTGAACAAATTAAGACTCACCGCCAGAACTAGCAGGAAACACCCCCTTAAAATTTTAGCTTTCTAGCTTTCCTGGCTCGTGAGTTATCGCCTACTTGGACAGGGAACATCCTCCTAAGATTTCAGCATTCTAACGTCTCAGATCCCCGAGTTATGAATTTACCCGAAAAAAATTTTGGCGGGCCTGTGCGTGAGTACCACGCAAGTGATGGGGCCAATTTTGGGGATTGGGGCCGGCATGTGCATGTAGACTAAGTTCCCCAAATTTCAGCCCTGTAGCTTTTACAGGTCTTGAGACGAAAGTGCGTGACAGACGCACACACACAGACAACCTCTCGTCAATATGCGTTTTTGCATTGCATAGCTGCAAAAAACGCATAAAAAAGGAAAAATTTCCAATTGGTGATATCGCTGTAGGGGATAGCAGGTTAGTGCGCCCAGAATCGACGACTACCAGCTTAGGATAAGTGCGCTGCCCGAACCAGACTGTATCGGGCGTCCCCTGCCATCGCACAGATCGATTCGGCACGCTAAGCAGATCACTGGAGCTCGGCTACCCATCGCCTACCCAATGTGTCTCACCTATTCGGGAATTGCTACCCCTCCCGTACACTCCACTCACTTAAGCGCCATGTCCACAACAGTAGCGGACCAGAGTGAAGTGCGCTTATAGTAAAATGGGCAATTGCTGAACCTCGGCTCGGCTTGACTAAGTCCGGCCGCTATTTTTAAGCGTACCAGCTTTTCTGCTAACGTTATTTCGCGGTGAGGTTTGACAACTACCTGCCCAATGAGCACTGGGCACCGTTACCCAGCATTCGACGGTTGCATGCCACGCGTAGCTCCGGAGCATGGGATGGAGAAAAGGTAAAGAAGCGGAACAGGGTACTAGTCAAGAGCTCGAAGTAAGAACTGGAGACAGCAGTAAAGAAAAAGAGACAACACAGTACTATAAAGAAAAGTAAATTAACGCAGACCTGAGCCTATGAATAAAAGCAAAAAAAGTGAAACCAAAAAAAAAAAATCTGAACATATGGATAAAAGAAAAAGCGAGAAAACTGACCCTATGCAAGCGGAAATTGTCCTATAAAAACTTGTCGTCAGTACGGGACTTCAATACTTTTAGAGCTGATGCTTAGGTAAAGCTAACAACAAATAAATCCCGTTGGAGGATATGAACTAAACGAAAAGAGAGGTAAATTGGATGAATGAGGATGGAGTCAGCCCTTGCTTTTGTGAGATTTTGAAAGCAAAAAACAGGGGTGTAAACGCTGTGCACAGTCGAAGTCCGTTGAAGGCAATACCTCGAATTGCTGTGTGAAATTTTTAAGCAAATTCAATCGGCTCCATTCGCTCTCAGTTTCACCTTAGCATCATCTTCATAAATGGGATTTTTGTAAGACAATTTCCACTCGCATAAGTCCACTTTTCATGCATTTTGTTCTGTGCAACAGCTGCACGAAACGCATACTGTCACGGAGTTGTCTTTGTGTGTGTGTGTTCGCAGCAACTTGCCCGCAGCTTTTAACTTGGAGACCACAAATGCTAGGAATCTGAAAATTTAGACGTATGTTACCTGCCTATGCGTGATGCCGCAAATTTAAATCCTGCCTCTCCGTACCCACAGGTAACACGTACGCCCCGTAAAAGTTTTTGCGGGTAAAATGATCGGGGATCACGGAAGCTAGAAGGCTAAAATTTTGGGGGCATGTCCCCTGTCCGCGTGCAACTCAAAAAATTTAAATTCAGCTTTCCCCTGCCCACGGGTAACACGTACTGACCTCGTTAAAAGTTTTGGCGGGTAGAATTATTATCACGGGGACCACGGAAACCAGAAGGCTGAAATTTTGTGGGCGTGCCCCTACGCACGTGCAACTCCTCATATTTAAATTCAGCTTTCTCGTGCCTGCGGGTACTGTGTACGGAACCGTAAAATTTTTGGCCAGAAAATTATTATCTAGGGAGTAACGGAATCTAGGAAGCTGAAATTTTAAGCTGTCTTGACTTTGCAAATTCAAATTTAGCGTTCCTGCGCTCTCGGGTGCCATCTACGGCTCCGTAAAAATTTTAGCATGGAGGTTATTATCTCGGGAACCATGAAAGCCAAAAAGCTGAAATTTTGCGGCAGTGTGCCCTGCCCACACACAATCCCACAAATTTAAATTTAGCCTTCTCGCGCGCCCGGGTATCACTTATGGCCTCGTGAAATTTTCGGCGTGGGAAATTACCTCAGGACCCAAGTAAGTTGGGAATATGAAATTTTAGGGCGATGTCCCATATCAACTTAGGATCCCCGCAAATTTGGATCCAGTTTTCACGCAACCCTGGGTACTATGTACGATCTCATAAAAATTTTGGCAGGGAAGTTGTCTCGTAAGCTGTAAAAGCTAAGAAGCTGAAATTTTAGCGTGGCATCCCTCCTCACATACAACTCCGCAAATTTTCAACCTCTCCGTGGGAATTTTGGCGAGAAGAATCATTATCTCGGCAGCCAGAAGAGTTAGTAGGCTAAAAACCTCAGAAGAATGTTTCCTGCCTAAAGCAGAGTCTTCACAAACTCGAATTCGTTTCCAAGTATGCATAGATCAAAATGCAAAGCAGTGAAAATCACTAACAGGCAATCGTTCGGTGAACAGAATTGCACAAAACGCATGATCGCACCGGCTATTCTGGTGCGCGCTGCTATTTATTTTTTTGTTTTGGTTCACAGGTACAAACTTTTCGACTTTGCTTTTACTTGCTTTTATTCATAGGCTCGGGTTTGTTTTAATTTACTTTTCTTTACAGTGCAGTTCGGTATTCATCACAAAAACCAACAACAAAATCCTCCTTTCCACCCATCCCTTCCAAATGTGCGGGGCCTAGCCAACCAACAAAGGATCTACGTTACGTAGCCATTAAATCTACCCACCTCCTGTTCCAAATCCCTGCGAACAAAACTTGCAGCACAGCACCCCTCCCTTCCCACCAAACCTCCCACTGCCATATCAAACATCTGCCGCTGACCGGGTAATGTTACCCGTCATCACAAAGAAAGATTTTTCGCGACTTTTGCATAACTCAGTCGAGCCGAGCTAAGTTTTAGTTAGTGCCT